AGCTGTGGAATAAATTGAGCTCATATTTATTTCCCAACTTCGCCTCAACTACAACTAATGAGGAATCAACACAAAATTAGCTTAGTATAATTAACTTGGTTGTGGCTAACATTGGAATCCAGGACAAATGTCTTGTCCCCTTTGGGACTTGTTAGCTGGATGTACCTGCACCTCAATCAGTGATGTCGTTCCACCTGCCACTGCGACAGGTATTAGTTACTACTATTTGTTGTTGTCGATCCAGCATAACCGGCGAATTATATGCATTAACAAACAGTAGTACGCAATACCCGTTGGGCTAGAGGTGGCTATCACTGTTCAGCGACCTAGTGGATAGCGCTTCGAAATTTGAATCGATGAGTACAGGGTGTGAGTCTCAGTGGGAACACCATCACTCACTGATGTGCGGGTACATTCAACTGAATAGTTCAAAATAAGACAAAATGCGCGTCTTGGATTTAGCCGCTAACCACAACTAAGTAAATCATAACAATAAATATTCAGGCAATATCGAAGCATCCGCATAGGAGCCCATATACTGACAGAGGTCGACCGATTCGAACTAATATAACAACGGAGAATTACAAGTAACAGCAAATAATGGAGTTAGTATGGGACAAACTGAGAAGCATACTTTTGAGTTAGAACAAAGTAAGCATGTACATTACGAAATGAGGATACAGCAAGCAAAACTCAGTTAACGAATGTTAGCTATATGAATAGTGGTGACAACGTTTGTTTATTTGCCAGTAATTAGAACAAAGATTCTGAGTCTTAACAATGGGTGTGGGGAATGGTGAAAATGATAAAACTTTCTCTGTCATAATAATAACTGATTTTCCACAAAGAAACAAGCACATGAGTGTTATAATACATAGGATGTATCAGAAGTCCTATAAGAAAGAAAAGGAAAGAATAAAAAAGTGTGAAATAAGGAAATATAGCGGTGGCAGAGACATCAAGGGAATACTAGATTAATTATTGTCCCTTTCTGAAAGCATAGATAAGGTTTAATGCGTTTAGGCTGTAACTGATCCTGAAAACTAAAGTAAAATAAAGGATCGTTGTCGGTTTATTGTTATGAAGACTGCAGATATATCCACTCTTTGTCATGAGTTGCCTAAATGGTGTATGATTAAAAATGTCAGCGATTTCGAACCGTTCAATCAAAAAGTGCTTCAACATTTTCAGAAAGACTAACATATGCCTATCTTTGTGTTCTTTTTTTGCGTTGGTAAGTATATGGGAATTCGTAAATACGGTTGGAGGTGACGTTGGATGGTATGATTAGTGCTATAAAGAGGAACATATTTAGCTACAAGATACGTTCTATCAAGGGAGGTGCGTAACCTTTCGGAAACGTTATCTCCTTGAAATACTAACTGGATAAATACCATCTTTTTCCCAACTGTAGCCGCATTCTTTCTCTCTGCAGGTACCTTGGAATACTTCCTAATAAGACAAACATTACCTAACAAATGAATCTAAAAGAAAACTAACACATCGTTGGGTTTGTCTTCTCATCAAACGTTCCTTACTCTCTTGGACAGTGTTCTAACTAGTCCACGTTTGCTGTTAATCAGACAAAGCTGTTTTGTTTAGATATTGTTTAGTCCACGTATCTCTGTATTAGATGCTTCTCACAACCGTATCATCGCTGCATCTCACAATGGATAAATCAAGGAAGTTCAGACGATTTTCATGCTCATACTCTATTGCAAAACGAATGTTTAGGTGTGCCTTTCTTCAAAATCTGAAATAGTTCACGTCTTTGCATATCTCAAATATGTCACCTATATATCTCGAACAAAACAGAATATCGTCCAGGTTTGACATAAATATTGGACCAACTGCGCTCCCCATAGGTAATCTATCAATCTGTCGTTACAATTCTATGTTGAAATGGAATTCAATATCTTCTGTACACAGGGATAAAAGTTGCTTAGGGTCTTCTTCAGATATAGGAAGGAATTTGGACTTTTTATAAATAACCTCAATAGTTTTTTTAGCGCACATTCCTAGCACCAAAATACAATCAGAGCCGAAATAAATAGATTAAATTGAACTAACCAAATAAACTTCTAGTCAGCCTCTGAATGCCTAAGGTGTTTTAAGTTTTGTTTTAACGAGCATGCATCCCAGCAGGCTTCGACGCCATTTTGCGCTCTCTTTCTGCTGGTTTAACACGCACCCACTTAGTCTCTGGCTCAGCCATACTAACCAGATAAGTCAGATAAACTTTCCCCCCTAATAATTGCTTTCACATTTATTCTTTTTAAATATATATATATATATTCTTGAATACCAGTCATTTGATTTGTGCTTCATTATTCAGTACTTACACATTATGTAAGGTACTGACTAGGCAGGTACTAGAACAACTCGAGTCAAGTAGGGTTGGTTAAGCGTTACGTAATAATAACACAGCCAGTCTCCTAAAGTTTCCTCGACTAGAATATTTGTAAAGGAGAAGAAACACCAAAGAATACAAGGAACTTATTGAAATATTCCATTTTTTCAGCTTTTTGACGAACTGAGAAGGGTCCATCACACTATACACGGATAGCTTGTCACGGAATTGTGCAAGCTTCTATGCGAATCATCGGACCAACTCGTGGCATGAAGAGTTTACTGTTGATAAGACATCCTTGTTGTGTATTTTTAGAAGATTGTACATGAAAGGTAGATGTGAATCTAAAAGGGTTTTAGTTCAGTCTGGGTTATGACTCTCTCTTCCAGTTTCAATGTTTTATCCTTTTTTTTATCTTTCTTGGCACAAATCACGAAAAATCCTTTTTATTGATAAAGATCACCTCGGGACTTTTATTTAATCTCAGCATAAGTAAATCTTCCCTCTCCTGCAGACATTGCAAAGAATTTTCATGCTCATTGGGAAGTACGTATGATTCTATTGTAGGCAAAGCCAAGTACTTATCGAAGATATCAGTAAGTTTAGATTTTAACCAACTTCTTCTGTTATCGTCCAATGGAAGTAAGTTGGAGAGTTTGATAGTAAAGGTATTCAAATTGTACTTCAGTGTTAATGCAGTCAACTTTTTATGGAACATGAAATTCAAAACGAAAAGATGTTTGATATACATTGTATCTCACCATTTGCACATCTGGTAGGACATTCTGACGTTTGTCAAGAAGTAAGTACATGACATTATGACACATAGTGTTCCAACACAGATTTCACTCTTCAGTTCTTCACTGTGTCACTCACACAGGTTTTAAAACCAATGGGTAGTAATTTTAGGACTGTGTGGGAAGATTTCGGGTAAGACAGAAAAATTAGTTGATGATATGACGGAACCAAATTAATCTATATGCTTAGGAGTTATTTTTTTCTATATGTTTATTAACCACCTTGGTAGAGTACAACTTGAATGGAAGTATCTAATGTGTACTAAGTTATGTATGAAACAGTATAAGCCCCTGACTGCAACATCTACGAGTAGCAGAAACTGTGTGACACTCATGATGATGATCCATTCAACCTACCATACTGAAGATGTTGAAAGTTCTATCATTACACAAGTATTTATTTCCAGTCATCTGTTTACTTTAGAAGTTATATTTATAAAGGTAACAATTTCATACTAAACAGTTATTTTCACCCATTTGGTTACATTGTTTCTCATTTTGTTGATATGAGTTGTTATGGCAATATTTCTTAACTGGTAATTAAATTGACACTTGTACATCACAAACTAATCGAATTATCAACAATGTCTGTTGATCTTAGTGACTAACAGAGAAGTGCAGGACACGCATTTCGTCCTAATTGGGGCTCGTCAGCTGGATGTCCTTGCACCCCCAGTGAATGATGTTGTCCCCACTGGAGCTCATACCCAGTACTCATAGTGCTCCAGTGACTTAGTGTTTAACGCTCTGGTGGTTGAAGCGATGAGTACAGGGTTGGAGCTTCAGTATTAATAACATCACTCACCGAGATGCAGGTATATCCACCTGGTGAGTTCCAAATAGGATGAAAAGCATGTCCTAGATTCCTCTACTAGCCACAGCCAAGTAAATTATCATAACAGATAGTCAGGCAATATCCAGGCATCCGCATAGGGGCCTATATGCCAATCGAGATCGAACAATTCGATCTTTCTAAAACAATGGAGAACTACAAGTAAATTAAGAGATAGTAATAACTAATACCCGTTGTACAACAGGTGGCTATCATGACTCAGTGGATAACGCCTTAGCGTTTGAAGCGATGGACACAAAGTCTGAGTCTCAGTGGGGTGAAGGTACATCCAGCAGAAGAGTCCCGAACGGGATGAAAAGTGCCTCCTGGTTCCTCTTCTAGTTATCAAGATCAATATAACACTGTGAATATTCAGCGGTATCAAGACATTCGCATAGGAACCTAGCTACCAACAGAGGTTGAGTAATTTGACCCCGTATAGCAACGGGAAATTACAAGTATCATAACAGATTATCAACACTTTCATCTCCAGTCTTTCTCATATCACTTGATCACCATATAACTTATCACTGGTTCTTCACCTAATACTCGAGTACATATACTCATAATCTGCTTCAGTGTAAAAATGATACAGGAACATGAGTCCACGAGTTTTCTCCTCCATAAATAGACTTTTATAAACAATCTCTGATAGATATTCTTGATAAAAACAGTCATACATTCCTCTGATACATCATAAATAACGATTTAACCCTATCTGATTAATACTTTTACTTACAAAAAAATGAAGTTTCAAATTCATTTTTTAAATGTACTCATAATGAGCGCCTAAAGAAAATCACTGGATCTTAAACTAGGAAAAGTGTTATGATATACACAAGTTTGACAAGAAAACAGAAAATTCTTCCAACAACTCATTTTATTCTGATGGTTTGTTTTGTTTTAAAAACAGAAAAGTTTTAAGGTTGAATTCAGAACAATGCCATGTTGGTTGGAAAGTGAACAACTTTAGTTTTAAGTTGGTAATCCACGGAAAAAATGTTCGTTTAGATAGTACTAGCTAAAAATGTTTGCAGTTGTAGTAAAGAAAATGATCAGAATCGCTGTGATGTCTCCTTGTTAGGAGCGTACTGCATAAGTGTTTTTGTAAAGTATAGTGTCCAATGTTGTTTGAACTGACTATCGTGAATGATGGCGGGCGAATCAAACCATTTTCAGATAATTCACATTCATTGGAATTGTTTGCTAACTGACCTCTTTCTGAGCTGCCAGAAATGTTTAATAATTCAACTAGAGATGTTATGTAATCTCGAGCAAGCTAAAATTTGTAAAGAAATTCATAATTACTGTTAAGTAATATGGCGTACAAAAGAGTTCTTTATAAAACTCAAGAAATGTTGGAAATATGAATTTAAGTCTAATGGAAATCCACTTAATCTCTGGAAAGTATCGTTGGATTGAGCAGTATCGCTTCAAATTCTACGGAAAGTATGGATTTCCATAAAGTATATTAGTTAACTGTTGTAGCGCCAAGATCCTGTAAAATTCATGAATTGCTAGATCTTCAGCTAACACTTCATATCTTACATCAGTTGTTTTATGTTGGTGGTCTGCTGTGAAGTCGATAAATCTGATGATAGTTCCAACATTAATCGTAGTATCTATGATGTTGCTTGTATTATCCCGTTGCTAATATCAAGATTGAAAATACACAGAATATCAAAGCATCCGCGCAGGAGTCCAAATGACAATGAAAACAGACCAGTTCAGTCAAATCTGCGACGGGCTAATACAAGTAACGTTATATAAACTATAATTGTTACACAAAAAGTGACTAGGGACTTGGCAGCCTAGTGGATAACGCCCTGGAGTTTAAAGTGACTGGTTCCAAGTTCCTCCCGCTAACTGGGAGGCGGGTACATCCAGCTTTAGAGTCCTAAATAGGGTGAAATGTGCTTCCTGAATTCCACTACTAGCCACCATCCATCACTAATATTGATCATAGTCGTCTTTCAGACTCAGTGTACTTTTTATCTGTCAACAGAGTGCAATAAGATGAATCAAATTTCTTCAGTCCACTGATCTATGGTTTGACAAAGAGTTACCTAATAGACAAAAATGTAATCTTACAATCTTTGATGAGGACCTATTTATTATTCAGTAAACCTGATGGAATCCCATAAGTTGTTCGCATTTATGTTATACTGATTGCATCTTCGAAGCTTAAGTCACATTTTTATTGTATTCAGCTTACGTCGACTGGTTGTTTAGAAGTAGACGATTTTCTGTTGTTTATCTTAAATACTGACAGAATTTCATTGATCATTTTGAACTGTGGTCATCAAGCTGGGAGACTTACCATACCGGGGTACTTTGGTTGGTGTTTAATGGTTGCAGATAGTCAGCATTAAGCGCTGCCTTATCTAGGTTCAGTCCTCTTAGGGCGAGGGGGGGGGGTATTCATTTTTTGACGTTGCAAGTAAGTCTTACTAAAAGGTCCCAGTTGAGGGATTACTATCAACCGTCTGATGCATATTAAGTTAACAATGCGATATTAAGTCAAGTAATAATTTCCCAACCATTTCGACTGTCATTCAGCACAAACTTCATGGACTGTCCTAATTCAAGTACGACCAATCGTTAATTACTCAATCCATGATGAATGTTACCTTGAAAGAAAGAAATCCTTATAAATCTCAAACTAAGTCAAAACCAGGTTTATAACAGATAACTAAAAAGAGTAAATCAACTTACCCTAAGAGTTTCAATTTTGCTTAGTTTTGTTAATGAGCTATACGAATCATTAGGTAACATTTTTCTCAGTTGTTCCAGTGCATCATTCAAGGCATGCATTCTAGCTCGTTCTCTTCTGTTCGCTTTTAACCTTCTTGGTAAATTGATTGAATACTTGAAATCATAATCTTCAGCTGATTTGTAAGACATTGGAGTTCTAGAATAAATATCATGAAAGACTTTAAAAATTGGTTAATTCCAATCTAACAACTCATTCTTTACTTTAATGAACATAAATTGTGACTGATAACACTTAGTTTACTCTTGATCCTGAATAAAATTAGATGCAACTGTACGATGATTGGTAGCTGAAGAGTTAGTAGTCAATGTATCCAATTCAGCCTTACAGGAAATCAATTTTGGTCCGAAAAGCTCGGTAGTAACGTCTTTAACCATAGCACTGGGAGACGAGATTTCCAGTCCCACAGGGATGTCGCTTCCCTCGAGGTTGCAGATACACCATTTTGGTGAGTGCCAACAAGCACGAAAATCAGATCGATAAGAGCTTCCTACCGATTACATACGTTCAAATAAGAGACAACCGAACTTCTTTGGATGAAAATGAAACAACGAACCATTGCTTGGGGAAGAGAATTTAGTGGCTTGATAGTAGTAGGTTGATATTAAATAATAGAGATACACAATAATATTGAAGAATTTCTTCACATTATCCCTAGGACTAGATGATTTCAGGATAGGACATTTTTCTTACTGGAATTCTTTGAAATGGCCTCATTTCAGTTTTAATGAAGAAGAATTTTTTCATCATATTGCTTTCCTTTCATTTTGGCCATCTGAGATAGTTGTTGTTTAGCAGACTAGCACTGATACTGGGTAGTGATTGGGGGAGAAATGAAAATTTGGACCACGGCTGGATTAAAACCATCAACTACCTGGTTTCCTGTCCGATGCTCTACCATTTGAGCTACTAGGCCTGACTACTGACCAGACTTCTGTTTCACTTTAGTCACCAAGAGTTTTGCTCGACTACCGTGTGAATTCATGACGCCTTTCTACCGCTTGATCGTACTCACACTAGTTGCCCAGTCAGGACTTCACATAGTGGTCGGGCAAAACCCTTGGTGATTGAAGTGAAGTAAAAATCTGGTTAGCAGTCGGGCGTCATAGCTCAGTGTTATATTGTATATTCGCTTACAACACATATATTTACTTGTCTCTACTGTGAGAAGACCCCCAATTAGTTTGAAAAGCAGACTTCACACCATCTTTTTTGTTATGCCTCTGAAAAGCTGATGCTGATGCATGACAACTGTATAGTAATAATTATTACAGCACTTGTCAACATTATAGAAGTTATAAGAACCTCGTTGGTAATTATTAGCACCAACGGTCTTAATAAAATATGTACAGTCGCGAAAAAAGTGTTCTGATTTTATGGTTTTTTCTGTTTACAAATCCCCATTGTCATTGGTTGACACATTTTAATTCGTATCATTCACACCTTACTGTCTGAAGAACAAATCGTCATTGAATTTTATGAACAACATAATTCTGAAGTTAATGGAGATTTCATTTTTGAGATAGTAGTCATCACATATTGATATCAGTTGCAAAACTGATAAAGTTGTAATGAGAAGCCATGAACTATTGGGTCGACCAGTAGGACATGAGGTAGATGCCAACTGGAGACGTTAGTGGACAGTCACGCTATATTCCGAACTGACAGAAGTAGGAAATTAGACATCACTGAACTCTGACCCAATGGCTGAATGGCTAGTGCATTTACCGTGGAACCTGAAGGTCCTTAGTTTGATCCCTAGGGGAGGGAACGGGGTCGTGGGTACGTACTCCTCAGCAGTCACATACTAGGATGAACCAACTGTCCAGTGGTCCGAGGTTTTCAATGGTTCAAAAACTGAGATCAGTCTGTGATAAATACTACCCTAGAAATAATAATTGGTACTGGGTGATGGAAGAAGATAAAGCAAAAGCCTGATTCCTAGTGGGATTTGAACCAGCAGGTTTTTAGCCCTTCACTCTGCCAACTGCACTACCAAACCCAGCTCCTGGCTAGTTCATAGGTTCACCTCAAATACCCAAGGTTTTGCCTAGCTGCTATTCGTTTGGATCCTGCCAAAAGCCAGGTTTTCATTTCACTTTCAATCATCACCCGGTTTCAATAAAACCAGCCTGCTAAATCCCAGACATTTCAGATAGTCTCAGAGAAAATAAATCTTCAGTAGTTTGTGGTTCTGCTGGTACTAAGTAGTGAAAACCCTATTCTGAGGCTTCACAGTGTTCTGAGAATCCCTCTTTTTCTTCTAAATAAATTTCCACTGAGTATTCATGTTACTCTAAATAATTCCGTATTTTAATCAAGTTTACGATATGCTTAGAGTTACTCTAAAAGCCCACCTAGCAACTGCGGACAGAAGCAACTATGTTTCTCCATCTTGTGAGAAGATTACTTTCTCAGCTGAAAAAACAAACCTGACTGGTTATATTAGTAATTGCGAAGGTGGTCTTTAGAGTCACTCATCTGCGGTTCATAATAGTTCATGTCTCTACTGAAAACTACAAAAAAGAACAGGAATTGAACCACTCTTTTTGTCAATCTGAACCATTTATCAGGATCTATCCACTGAGATAATATTTACTTTACTGAACTGAATTAACTGCTTTTTGACTAATGATACATCACTTCACTATCTTTGCTAAGCTAAGGAAATGAAAATAATATATTACAGTACATTTTGATGCCTACCAGTGGAACCTAGGATGTGCTTTTCTTCAAACTCCTCAATGGGATGTACATCCGCCCTAGTGAATGATATTGTTCCCACTGAGATTTGAATCCAGAATTTACTGTTTGAAACACCAAAGTGTTACCCACTAGGTAAACGAGAGGAATCTTACACCATACCAATGATACTTCCTGGTTTCCTAGGTAGCACTCAAACGTGCGACCAGATGACTGAAAGTCAACTGTTAAAACTACTGAGCTTAGAACAATGCTTAAACTATGGTAGGTTTAATGTGAATGTATACATTCAAAGCCATATTTCAAGTGTTATCTTTTATAATCACTTTGTTCTGGTAAGATAAGTGAAATAACACTACATAGGAAATAAAAAATTCATAAACAGTCGTGTATGTCAAAGGAGTAAAAGTTCTTCATGTGTGATATGGTTTAGAGTATCCACTAGTTCTCTGGAGGTATTGTTTAAATGTACTGTTAAATGTACAATGATGTATCTATCTGTTCAAGGATCATAGTTCCATTATATTGAACCACCCAATACTTAAAATGAAATTAAAATAAATCGAAAGTAAGCTACTTTTTGTTTGCCATGTGTTAGTTCGAGGGAGATAGCATGTTTCGTTTCGATTACGTATTAGTCGTACGAAATGTGCTGCTGACTAGCAGAGTAGTTGTAGACTAATCACACCTATGAACGTTAATCGCTAACCTGGTCGATGTAATCTAACCACTGAACAGTCGTGTCACTCGTTTGGGACGACATTCAGCAGCGTCTCAGGCTAAATGAATCAACTCACAGAGCCAAATTGTTCAGAATAACGGATTTCTGGCTACCTACTTGAGTGGATTCAAGCAGATGAGTGAGGCTGCGCTAGTCAGCAACCAGTCAATTTCAGCTTGTGGTAAACAGTTTGACTTTCTGTCAGATCATATGGATAATTATACACTTGCGCTACAAAGCTGAATAAGTTTGCCTCAATATGAGTGTTTATTTTGGAATATAGATGCAAACACCGCCTAATCCATAATACGAAGTGCAGCTGTCATAGATACTTCATATATTATTCACGGAAAATGATACGCTTCAGACTAACTGAAGGAATGTTTCAGTGTTTAACTTTTATTTGAAAAACAGTGGTGCCAACTACATAAATGTATACTGAATATTTTGGAATGAAACGGAACTCAAAGCAAATGACTCTTCACAATCCTTCAACACCGTAGTAAAGTGAAGTACAACTCAGATGTAAATAAGATAACCGTCAAACTACCAGTAGGTAATTCAATGCAGAAATTACGGTTATGCTGGTGAACAACAAAACGCTTAGGATTGCTGTTGCAATTATAAAGATAATGGGGTTTATGAGTTTTATTCTTAAGGTTGTATTCATCACCGACTGACGGACTGGAAGAAGTAGCAAACTGTGAACCATCGTACTCCAACCCAGTGGCAGGATGGCTAGTGCATTTACCGTGAAGCCTAAAGGTCCTAACTTCGACCCCTGGGGAGTGGGGTCGTAGGTGCGTCCTCTCGAGGAGTCACACACAAGGACGAAACAGCTGTCTAGTACTCCCGTCTTTACAGCAGTTCTCCAAATGATGTCAGTTCGTGATGAATGTAACCTTAAAAATAAAGATAATGATATGGAAAATATTCAGCCTTCTAAAGAAACCATAAATTTCACTTTTACATGATTTAAACAAAGGATCTACTGAGTATGATGAAAGCTTGATAAATTTCATGCAAGATGACTCACATTAGATATTGCGAAACGAATTCTGAATACGTCAGTCCTCAATAGTAATTCAATTCATATAACACGTGATGAGTAAATTTTTATTACTCTTCGGGTTTCTCCTGTCTTGGAGTGATTGACAACGTCATAAAGTTGAGGCCTGAAATGTATTGGGTTTGTATGAAGAATAAATATATGCACAATCTACTTAGAATAGAAAACTTATCATCCCCCTCTACTGCTAATTCGCAATTATTCTTCAATATGATTGGTTGGTTCATCTTCTTTCTTCATTCTTTTAGTTCATCTTTCTAAAGATGATTTCATTTTTCTTGACCATTGTCTAAATACGAAAAAAATATTTCCACTTCATACACATGCATACACGGGATCTAATCATGGAACCAATGAAAACCATAGGAAGCTTAAAAATTATGTTAGACTGTAGCACAGACAAAGTAAGTGTACACGATTATCTGAAAACGGTTATGATTTCAAACCTTCATAGTCTGAAAGTAACATTTCTGACTGCAACATTGGGTGACACAGGTTCGAATCTCAGGCAAGACATCAGTTCCATCAAGGTTACTGATATGCCACACCAATGAGTGCTAACAAGCACGAAACCTATGTATAACAGGGCTTCCTGCCGATTACCTCCAACCAGCTGGTATCTATCAAAGTTTACGGCA